TTTCTTCAATTTAAATCCGAAATAAATGATAAATATAGACATGGATTTGTGAAATATAATCACTTTTAGTTAAAGAACACTTACCCAATTCAAAGTCGTGAAAATCCCCCTTGAAATCGCCCAAATCTGAGGCTTAAAACTAAAAAATGAATAAAAATGGCTAAGACCCGATTTTATGTATTCTGCCCAGCATTGTCGCATATGCGGGCTATATTTTCGCACCTGCGGTCTCGCATTTTCAAGACAAAGCTCGTATTTGAGAAACAAGGTAGCTTGACCAGTGGCCGCATCTGCGCTCGAAAATGTCGCACCTGCAACATCCGCTTCTGCGCAAAAGGGCCGCACATGCGAAGACCGCATATGCGATGGAAGTCTCGCTTCTACGAGCTCACACCTGCTGTCAAAATTACGCAGGTGCGATTACACTAGAACCCAAAAATTTAGATTTTTCTTAAGTCAAATTCTTGTTCCGATTTCGATTCGAATCACACTCGGGGTACTCGGTACCTAGTCCGAATATACCAACAAGTCCCGTAACATAATACGGACTGACTCGGGGTCTAAAATCAAGTCAAACAATACTGAATTTACAATTCATACCCCTATTCGAACTTTGAGGTTTAAACTTTCAACTTGCAAATCTCGTGCCAAAACATATTAAATGAATCCGGAATGACTTCAATTTTGGCACACAAGTCATAAATGACATAACAGAGCTGTTCAAATTTCTAGAATCGGATTCCGGCTCCGATATAAAAAACTCAACCGCGTGGTCAAACTTGGAATATTTATCCTTTAAATTGCTAGTTCCGTTAAATGGTCATAACTTGAGCTAGGGACCTTCAAATTAAATTCCTAGCATATGCCCAAGTCCCAAATCACGATACAGAGATACTGGAACTGTCAAAATACTGATCCGGATCCGTTTGCTAAAAATGTTGACTAAAGTCAACTCACATGAATTTCAAAGCTCTATTTCACATTTTAATTCATTTTTCACATGAAAACTTTTCGAAAATATTTACGAAATACGCACACAAGTCGAGGAATGATAAATGGTGATTTTTGAGGTCTTAGAATACAGAATTACTTATTAAATTTAAATATGATATTTTGGGTCATCACACCAACAAGGTCGTGATGGCGTCGGACACCACTGTCAGGCAAGCCAACCATAATCAATTAACTTAATTACCCATTTTAGTATTTTTGAAATATAATTTTCTTCAATGAAATAGTAAAGATAAAACTCATAGAGTAAATGATAAATATTTTTAGCAAATAAATTTCTAAACAATTCACAACCATTCCCAAAACTTAGTGTCACAAGTGCATGAGCATTTACTAGGGAATTAAAATAAAATACAGCATCTGTCCAGAATACAAATCATACAGGAAAATATAATAACTCTGAAGGAGACTCTGTTAGCTGCGGATCGTAATATAGAATGCAGTTCACCTATGTCCCCACAACTATTAACCACACCTATGCGTCCACTATGCCGCTATTCATATATGTACCTACACAATAAAATGTGCAGCAAGTGCAGTATGAGTAAAAAAATAATGTGTACCCAGTAAGTATCTAGCCTAATCTCGAAGTGGTAGAGACGAGATAGCCGACTTTGACATTCACTATGGGTCAATAATAATAATTGAAATAAAACTAGAATATCTAAATCAGCATGATTCACAGGATTTACAATAATTTATGTGACCAACAGAAATAATCAAATTCCTTCAAATGCAACAATTCTCAATATATTAATTAAATTCCTTAAATTCAAATAATTTTCAATTCATCAATTAATATCATTTACAGAAATAATAATTAATTCCATAACAAGCAAGAATAATAATGCATTAAATTCCAAGGATTCTCCAATTTATCAATTAGCATCGCAAGCTGAAATAAACTATTAAGGTATCGTGTAATTATTATTATTAAGCATGATTTCTGCCGAGGTCGTTCGGCCTGATCTAGAGTGTCGTGTACACTGCCGAGAGATGTGCGGCACGATCCATAGATGCATCTATCCTCCCGAGGCGTTCGGTCCGCTCCACAAGAAAAGAGGACTTTTTCTTATGTACCTCCGGTATGAGAGTATATTTGTTATAAGATAAATTCAGGAGGAAGAACAATTTCTCTTAGCAATTAATTAATTTAAACAAAACAAATTCAAGTATATGAGATTTCCATCCTTTAATATTTTTATCTAACAATTCACAATATATATATATATNTAGACTTACCTCGTCTTGCTCCAATTTAATCCACTAGTAGACTCTTTCCTCGATTATCCAACTCTGTCTGGCTTGAATCTAGCCAAAATAATTTGATACAATCATTAAAATTTATAGGAATCAATTCTATCAGAAAATACTACATTTTCAATAAAATCCCGAAATTAATTAAAATTTCGTCCGTGGGGCCCACGTCTCGGAATCCGGCGAAAGTTACGAAATCCGATAACTCATTCAATTACGAGTCCAACCATACCAGTTTCACTCAAACCCGACTCCGAATCGATATCGAAATCTCAAAAATTCGTTTCTATGAGATTTCTAAAAATTTCCAACATTTCAATCTCAAAACACTAATTAAATGATGAGAACAATGATATATTTGTGTTTATAGACCAAATCCAAGTTAGAATCACTTACCCCAATATCTTTCCTTGAAAATCTATCGCAATTCGCCTCTGCTCAAGCTCTAAATTGTTAAAAATGGCGAATGAGACGAATGCCTTCTTTTTATAAAACTGCCCAGACAGCATTCGAAATTGGCCTCGAACTGGGCCTCGATCGTGGCTTAGATCATGGCCCTCGAGCCTAGGCCTCAATCGTGGCTTCGATCATAGGCTCGAGCCTGAACCTCGGTCATGGCCTCGATTATGGCATCGAGCCTGGTCCTTCGATCATAGCCTTGATCATGGCATCGAGCCTGAGCCTTCGATTGTGACCCTCGATCTTGGGTCTCGATCATGGCCCTCGATCATTGCCTTCAATCATGGCCCTCGAGCTGGATCTTCGATCGTGGATTCAATACTGAGCCTCGTCCCTGGCTTCGCCTTAGGACGTCGACCCTAGGCTCGATACGTGGGCTCGATCACAACCCAAAAATATCCAACAAAAGGAACAATTGTTGCAGCTTTTAAAGTCATATTTGTGATCCGTTAACCATCCGCAACTCACCCGAGGACCTCGAGACCTCAACCAATTATACTAACAAGTCCTAAAACACCATACGAACTTATTTGAAATCTCAAATCACATAAAACGACGCTAAAACTACAAATTATTCTCCAATTCAAGCTTAATAAAACTTAAAATTTCCAACTTTTACATTCGATTACGAAACCTATCAAATCAACTCTGATTGACCTCAATTGTTGCACACAAGTCATAAATGACATAACGGAGATATAAAAATTTTTGGAACTGGATTCCGACCCCGATATCAAAAAGTCAACTCCCCGGTCAAACTTCCAACCTTAAATTCTTATTTTAGCCATTTCAAGCCTAATTTAACTACGGACTTCCAAATAAAATTCCGAACACGCTCCTAAGTCCAAATTCACCATACAGAACTGTTTGAATCGTAAAAATTCTATTCCTGGGTCATTTTCTCAAAATATTTACCGAAGTCAAACTTGGCCTTTTAAAGCCATCTTAAATAACCAAATGTTCTGATTTCAACCCAAACACTTCCAAATCCCGAACCAACCATCCCCGCAAGTCATAAATCATTTATTTTTATTTTTTTTAGTCTAATGGCTAATATATAAATAAAATCCCAAAATGGGTCCAATGCTTACAAGATGTCCAAACCAAAATAGAAGTTGCATGAAGCTACTAGCTATTAAAAAAGATAGAAAAGCTAAAATCTAATGAACTAACTATTACAACATGATAAGCTGAATGCTTCCTTCTCCTATTAGTGTATGTGAATCTAATTGTCATTGGCAAATACCAAGCAGCACCTATCAAGCCCTCACTAGGGGCCAGGGTATATTGTCCATAGGCTAAAATGAATTCCAAACATCTCCACCGCAGAGTTGAAGTCCGCATCGTCCTCCAAGTGTCACTACTATATGATCTCCATATGCAGTGGAATGATTTTGTTCAAGTATTAATCATGTGCTCACTCATCAAGATTAATGTGTTGAAGAGAAGCCTGGCTTTAGGCAGGCTTTGCAAGGTAAAAGCCAGGCTTGAGCTGGCTTTAGGCAGGCTTTACAAGGCAAAGGCCAGGCATGCGCTGGCTTTAGGCAGGCTTTTCAAGGCAAAAGCCAGGCTTGAGCTGGCTTTAGGCAGGCTTTGCAGGCCAAAGGCCAGGCGTGAGATGGCTTTAGGCAGGCTTTATAAGGCAAAAGCAAGACATGAGCTAGCTTTAGCCAGGCTTTACAAGGCAAAAGCCAGGCATGAGCTGGCTTTAGGCTGGCTTTACAAGGCAAAAGTCAGGAATGATCTGGCTTTAAGCAGACTTTGCAAGGCAAAGGCCAGCCTTTGAGAATGTGCCTTTTTGTGATCTTGTAAGCTCAGATCCTTCCCTACTATGACCTTTAATGTAGACATCATTCAAAACATTGGTAAACCATCCTCAGATTGAGCTTGAAAGCATGCTAATACCACTGAGAAATGATTCAACAATCTCCAAAAATACCATATGATGGGTTCAGCATTTTCCTTAGCATTTGGACATATCAGTTTGTGCAGAGTCCAATCTTGTGAAGCCATCAGCCTGGGGTTCTTCTCTTTGCTATCCTAATCCTAAGGCTAGGTGACTGAGATTTGTCTAGATTGATCAACCTCCTCCCTGCACTAGGCAGTTCAGAGAATGAATGAAACTCAGATGTACCTGTAAAAGAGATCACAATGTTAGCTATAAAATTTGCTACTGAGTTGCCTTCTCTGAACACATGTTGAAAGATCACATTGAAGTTGTCCTTCATCTCTATAATTTTCTTCACATCCTATGCAATTACCCAAGGAGGATCTCATTCCCCTTCTATCGCCTTCTTCATCACTAATGAATCATTCTCCAGTATGAGAGGTTGAAAATTATACTCCACACAATATTCCAACCCTTGAAGAATAGCATTAGCTTCAGCCACCACATTAGTTTTCACTCCCAGGTTTACTACCCTAGAATACACCACATCACCTTCATCATCCCTCACACAAATGCCTAGGGAGCTAGGTCCAGGATTGCCCTTTGAAGCTCCATCAGTATTACATTTGTACCAACCATGACAAGGAAGCTGCGATGTTACTCTTGTAGTGATCAATATAGGTTTATATCCTTCAAAGTATTGAATAATGTATGGCCATAACAATGGAATATTAGGGATCCAAGAATACCTCACCCTTGCCAGTTGATGCAATGTCCTATTTATCTCATGAATCACCCTATTTGTGGACATTGAACCACCATGTTTACCTGCATTTCTTCTCTTCCACAGCTCCCAAGTGATGATAGATGGTATTGCTTGAAATAGTGGCTTTAATTTCGGACAACACTGAGCATACCACCAATGCCTTATAGTCTGCTTCAATTGAATCAATTGCACAGAAATTCCAGCAGCCCCCATGAACAAGTTCCATACCTTAGAGGCAGTAAGACTTGTGACAAATATATGCTCAATGGATTCCTCTTGGGGCTGCTGACAACACCAACACCTAGACATCACCATTTGCCCTTGCCTCCTCCACATGTCATCGGTGGCTATTTTCTGCCTCCACAATCTCCACAAGAAGAAGGATATCTTGAACGGTAAACCTTTAATCCACATTAACTTGAATTCCTGATTAGGATCTACCCTATGCCTTAATATTTGCCAAGCACTGCTAACACTGAACTTGCCTGAAGGAGTTGGCATCCAGTATAACTTATCCCAATATCCCTCACTGCTTTCATAGTGCACATTTAGCCTTATATGTCCTACAATTTCCTCATTGAAAGTTTGATCTAGCAGCTGATCATCCCATGTTTCCCCTTGCCGCAGTTCTGCCACCTCCTGAAGACCTTCATTGATTGGAAAGTCTTCAGGTAATACATGATAAAGTGCACCCAATCCAGTCCAATTTTCATGCCAAATATTAGTTGTTCCACTCTTTAATTCCCATACGATCTCATGTTCTACTTTTCACTAGCATTCAGCATTTGTCTCCAAACATGAGACCCTCCCCTAAAATGCACCACGGTTGGTGGCTCCTTCTTGCAATACTTATTCCACATGAAATTAGACCACAAAGATTTTGTGGTCCTAAACCTCCACCATAGTTTAGCAAACAGTGCCCTTGAGACATCATTTAAGGACCTAAAACCTAGCGCCCCTTCCTCTTTAGGAAGGAAAAGATTTTGCCATGAAGCCCAGTGTCTGCTTCTCCCTTCTTCCTTTGTGCTCCAAAAGAACCTAGCAAAAGTCTTATGTAGATGCCCCAGGATGCTGTTTGGTGGATCAAGGACTGATAACATGTGAACTGGCATACTTTGCAACACACTAGAGATGAGTGTTGCCTTTCCTCCAAATGACAGCAGTTTTCCTTTCCATGAATGCAATTTAGCCTTCACCTTCTTGATAAGATCCTCATAATAGTCCTTCCTCCTTCTAGTGTAAAAAATAGGACACCCTAGATATGTGAAGGGGAATTTACCTCTTGCAAATCCTGTAATAGCTCCAACTGCCTGAAACAATCCATTAGCAACCTTTGAATACATGTAGTATGAACTCTTATCTTTGTTGATCATCTGACCTGATATCTTCTCATAGTTCCCCAACACTGCCATAATCTTGCTCAAAGAGGGAGGATGAGCAGATGCAAAGATTATCGTATCATCAGCATACGCCAAGTGGTTTAAAGAATCAGACCACTTAGGCATTCCAAATCCCACAAATGACTTGTCTTCAAAAAGCTTATTCAAAGACCTGGAAAGTAGCTCAGCTGACAGAATGAACAATGCTGGAGATAGGGGATCCCCTTGCTTCACACCCTTTGTCGACTTAAAGAACACTGAGGACTGCCCATTCACCAATACTGAATACCAGTTATTCATAAATCATTTAAAGCACATTCAGGAAGTTTTATTTAGGAGAACGGGGTTCTAAAAGGCAAAATGACCGGTTGGGTCCTTACAGGGAGAATGTAACTATCCGACTTGTCATTTTATGAATTTACGCCCCGTACAACAACTTAAGGTCCAGAAGAATTTCGTAATATGTATTATGACTTGCGTGTGTGGTTGAGTATGGTTTTCGGACGATTTGGGATCAAATTGGGAGAACAATTCTTAATTAAGAAGCTTCAAAGAAAATAGTTGACCAGAGAGTCGACTTTTGAGCAAACGACTCTAGAATGGAATTTTTATGATTCCAATATTTCCATATGTTGATTTTCGACTTTGGAGTGTGACCGGATATTTATTTGGAAGTCCGTAGTTGATTTTGTCTTGAAATGGAAAAAGTTGGAAATGGATGGTTTGGAAGTTTGATCGGGAGTCGACTTTATTGATATCAGCGTCGGAATCCAGCTATGGAAATTTTGATAGGTTTGTTATGTCATTTATGACTTGTGTGCAAAATTTGAGGTCAATCGGACAAGATTTGCTATATTTCAGCATCGAACCTAGAATGTTTGGACATCGATGCTTCAAGAATATGGGGTATCACATTAAGAAATTGAGCTCCAAATTTAGTTTTTATTGAATCATTAGATCCGTATTGAAATTGCGGAGCCATAGCAAAAAGAATCGTCGCATTCGGACATCGTATGAGAGAGTTATGCCCATTTTAGTGTCGGGAACGATTGTTCGTCGCCGTCAGCGCCTGGGGTAGCGCGGGGCGCTAGCCCTAGCACTGGGATGTTTAAGGGTTCTGAAAACAGCGTAAAAAACCCATAAAACAGGGAGTTTTGCCATTTCTACTCATTTTTGAGTTTTAGGAGCTCGGTTTAGGCGAATTTTGGGCGATTTTTACGGGAAAACATTGGGGCAAGTGTTCCTTGTCCTATATTGATTATATTTCATGATTCCATACTCATTTATATCAAGAATCCGCAAATTTATGGAAGCAAAATAAGAGTTTTATAAAATATTCCAAAAATTTAAAAAGATGATTTGAAGGTCAATCCGATGTCGGAATTCGATAATTTTTGTATGCTTGGACTCGTGGTTGAATGGGCTTTCATATTTTGTAACTTTTGTCGGGTTCCGAGACGTGGGCTACACTATTGACTTTTGAGTTAATTTCGCATTTAGATTATGAAATTTAGCAAATTCATATGGAATAAATTCCTACTATTCGTGTTGAGTATATTGAATTGTTTGTGACTAGATTTGAAGCTTTCAGACATGAATTCGTGAGGCAAAGGTTTTATTGGAATCTTGAAATTTGGTTTTGAAACAGGGTCGTATCTTGCCTAACCATAAGTGGGGGAATTACCCCTTAGGCATTGAGTCTTATGTGGAAATTGTGTAATTGAAAACTATGTACGCGAGGTGACGAGTACAAACTTGGTTTATATGTGCAAATTATGTCGGTTGAAATTCGTAGACGCCCTTATGTATTAAATTGGAAAATTGTTGGAACTTAGTAAATCCTTGATTTGTCATGCCTCATTCGTTCTTTGTCGAATTTGTATTTTATGATTATTTGGTGTCATTGTCACTTGGATTTTTATGTGAATTCGGTGTGTTGTATATTTGATATTTCTTGGAAATAATTTCGTTATGGATTTTTCATTTGTAAATAATTAATTAAATAATTTTAAATTGAGGCGTTTATATATTTATCTAAAATTTAGATTAAAGAAGGTGTTGTCCTATGATGAGTTATTTTCCCATCCTTGTGGTTGTTTTGAGATTTTATATACATTGTGTTGAGATATGGACTATCTGTTGTGAAATTAATTGACTTTGTTGTACCTTTGGAATGGTTGTAGCCTGCGGGCAATTTATAAATACGAAATGATGATGGTGTGCGGTTGTGATAATATTCTGTGTGAATTATTGCGTGATTTGGGTTACTCTTATGCGACGTATAAGGGTGGAATTCCATTGTTGACATAATGCAGGTATAATGGTGGCATTTCACTGTTGTTAAGTATGTTGAGATATTGTCTGGGCGGAGCGATAAGGGAGGCTATTAAACGGAGCAATAAGGGAGGCTATTATAGGAGCGATAAGGGTGTCTATAGGAGAAATAAGAGTGGCTATAGGAGCGATAAGGGTAGCTATTGATATTGTCAGGGCGGAGGGATAAGGGAGGCTATTATAAGAGTGATAAGGGTGGCTATAGGAGAGATAAGGGTGGCTATTGTCAGGGATGATACGTGATATTGTGAGGTTATTGTGTTGGTAATGATATATGATGATGTGTAATTATTGTGTTGGTAATTTTTATGTGATGATGTGGGGTTATTGCGTTAGTAAATTTCATGTGATGTTGTGATTTTTCTTGTGTTTATTTTTATATCTTGTGCAATTTGTCTCGTTGTTGGTAAATTAATATTAGTTTGATTTATGTTAAAATTGGGAGCATGTGGCTATTGCCAAGCGGATTATGAAATAAAATGTGGGCACGAAGTGCTGTGAGTAAATGATGATGATATTGGAACGTGAGTTGTCCGTGCGGTTGTGATAGAGAAATTGGCACGAGGTGCCGTAGAAATATAAAATTGGGTTGAAACTCGTATTTCTATGATTTTTAAATGTGGTGTCACAGGATGACTTTTGTTTTCGAAATATATTTATTTGAAAAAATTATACGTGAAAAACATTTATGATTTGGCACAAGGTACCGTGGAAATATGAAAGTGTGCTGAGACGGTATTTCTATGATTTTTAAATGAGGTGTCACAGGGTGACTTTTATTAGAAAGATATTTATTTGAAAGATATTTATTTGAAGGGAGTATATTCGAAATATATTTATTGGAAAATATTATATCCTGAAGATTATTATTTGAAAAACATATAGGCGAAATATTTATATTTGAAGGACTTGATTAATTGGTTATACTTGTATTCATTATTTGTTGAGCAATATTTATGGTGTTCTTGTTGCCCGGCTGTGTATATCATTGGTCGATTATTATTGCCATCAATGTTAATTATTTCCTATTATTTTTGTATACTATATTGCACATGTTATTAGACTAGTGAGTGTCTTGACTGTTCCTCATCACTACTCCACTGAGGGTAGTCTTGATACTTACTGGGTATCGACTGTGGTGTACTCATACTACACTTCTGAACATTTTTGTGCAAAGCCAAGTATTGGAGATATCGGACTCGGATAGAATTAGAGTGTGATCGCAAGGATTTAAGGTAGAGCTGCTTGGTTGTCGCAGTCCCTTGGAGTCTTTCCATTTTATTGTACTGTTTATTATTAATCAAACAGTATTGAGTATTTGATCCTCGAGATCATTCCATGTATTCAGTTAGAGTTTGTGACACAATATTACCAGTCTTGGGAGGTTGATAGAATTATTTCCGTTGTTGGTTTCAACACGTGTATTAAGTTATATGTTTTTAAAAAATGGCTTAAATTGTAATTGTAATCGGCTTACCTAGTCTTAGACACTAAGTTCCATCACGACACATGTGGTGGAATTTTGGGTCGTGACATCCAGCAAGAACTATGATACAGAACCAGGCAAACAGATGGTACAACACAATACCACTAATTGCAAAGTGGAGAGCTTGGTATAAATGTTAAAATCTTTGATACCGCCACAGGTAAGTATCTTTGTACCCAGAAACTTGCTTTCAAATCTAAAGAGTTTGAATATTCCAACAATCCTAATACTAACTTACACAATAAAAGACAACTACACGCCAATCCCATAGACAACATGTTAGAGAAGAATCCAATAATTAATATTCAGTACCCCACCACTTCTAATAAATTTGCTCTCTGCAAGAAGATCATGAAGAAGACGTTAATTCCTGAAACGCTCCAAATGACCTACAAAACGCTTCCCCTACCGCACGCTCTATCCCTTCGATACAACCAGAGAAATCAACCAGTAATGAAGAGACACGTGTCCCAGACGTGGCACAAAATGATCGTAACCCTATACCCTTGCATTCTGATTTGCTGCCAAATCCTAATGATAGATCAAGTTTAACTAAGCCTCCCCTATTACATGCAGACAAAATACACTCCACAAATGATGAGTCACAAAAATACAAAACAATGCTCAACACTTGTCAACAGACATCATCCAAATGGACATAGCTATGGAGTTAGCTGATCAAGCTGCCTCTATTTATTCGCACACGCCAAACTCACCCATTAACATGCAAATTGAATCTTCCAAATCAGCTTTCCTCTAATACTTTAAAAGACACCACATAAGAGAATAATGCCAAACTTGCTACTTCCTCTAAACAGGACAAATCGACTAATACTGCTAACTCACAGAATTCCCAGACCAGCTTTCCAACTTCCCACCATAAACAACTAGAACAACCACATGCAACTCCCACACCTGGTGTACACAACATACCTGCTACACCTAGACCACTAACCAACCTTGAGGATCAAGCAAGACCTCCATGGCCAAGCTCTGTTCTTCACAATGATGCTCGAGGGACAGGAGATTATGGTGACCATTCGAAATCCAAACTTTCTAGTGACAAAAGGGATGAAATTGGCAATGGACAACTCTATGAACTACATGTGGATGGCCAATCTCCTCGATCTGCTGGCACCTGTAGTAGCACCAGCATTATGCCATGCCATGCACAACCACTGGAACCTACCTCAACACTTTAATCCACTACTGAACATGAACCAAATATTTGATCTCCTTTTTTCCAACCTCAGGTGCTGATAGACATGAATCCACTACTATTTCTATGGCAACCACAGCCAACACAACAACAACCACAAATGGCGGCCCCAATGGAACAGCCACTAAGCCCAGATTAGGAAGGACAAGAAATAGAAGAGGTGGAAGACCTGGAGATACGTCCCCCTCTGGGAAGAAGGTCATTCACAGAAATCTCAACAATAAGAGATATATCCCTTATGCTATTATCGGAGAGGGAGGA